GCTGGGAATTGTGGACAAAGAGGTCACAGAGGTCACGCAGACCACAGTCCCCTAGGATCCTGAATATGCACCAGGGCACCTGCCCCCTGACAGGATGTGACCCTATGCACCACCCCGTCCTGAGGGTATCTCACTCACTGGTTTTGGGGTCTGTCAGGTGGGTGATGGGGTGATGGCATCAGCTGCTCCTGGGGGTCATGAAATGGGGATGTGAGTGAGGACTTGGGGAGACATGACCTTCCTCGTGGGTTCTGTGGTTTCAGTGCTCCCACTTTTCCTCTCAAGCCTGTCACATCGTCCCATTCCTTAATGAGCCCTGTCTCTGCCCTGCCAGATCCCCTGTGTGTCTCCTCACTGGATTCTCTCACCTCCTTGTCATCTGAATTCAAAACCTGCACAGGGTCTCTGATGACAGTTAGCTGTCCCAGAGCTCAGGACTGGGGAGGAAAATGGTCTCAGTACAGAAATTATCAAGTTTCATGCATTCTGTGTTCAGTCTGAGGCACAAGGCTCATAAGCTTATTCCCATACAGCTGAGAGCCCTCACTTTCTCCACAGCTGGGACCCAGGACCCCTGGAGGAGGGGTTGGCTTTAGGGCTTCCTGAACGTCAGGAGCACAAAAGGGTGAATATCAGGGTTGGGTCCGCTTCACCCCACCTCACCCAGGACCCTCCTCTCTGGGGCCTGCATTTTAATTGTCACCTGGAACTTTTCATCCATTTATTCTTTCATTAATTCACTCTTCATGTAATTAGGAATAATTGCAATGGTGGATAGATAGACTTACCAGATGAAAAACATGAGCATTTGGATGAATATTTGTAGATATACTTGTAGATATGTACATTTTATCTTTGTAAAACAATAGACATGTGTGTAACTAAGTATACAGTGGTATACTACAGATACACTGTATCTATACTATATTATGGATACATTTTATTATATATAAGTATATGTCTATACACACAGTTACACATAAATATTAACATTATATGTCCATATGCTGCATATCTACATAGATTTGAGCTATACCCATATATATTATATATGTATATATTGTATATGTGAATTAGTCTATATAGTACAGGTCACATCAGTTACTTGAAATATAAACAGGTGACAAGGAGGCAGGTCCCCAGAAAGATCAGAGTCTGTTCATCAACAAGGAATAAGTCCTGTCTGTGAAATGTGGGAGGGGCAGAGGAGAAGGGCCGGCTGGGACGGGGGTGGGAGGTAGGGAGGTGGAGGGGTGTGCATTGGTAAACTGGTGATAGGTCAGGGTCAAGTGTCCAGGTGGGGAGGTGCCATCATCGTTATCTATCGCTCTCTTTTGTTGTACAAACTCTAAAAAGTCTGGCAAGGTTTCATGGATGGATGGGTCATTATTTGGTTTTGATCCCAAAAGACAACCTCTACCCCATCTTTATTTAACAAGGTCCAGACATGAGGAAGTCCACAGTTCTTGTTTTCAAACTTTAAGGAATGGAGGAAATAAGCTTAATTATAGTATTGAGTGAGCACAAAAAATAGAAAATTATGTTAATCTATTACTCATTTTTCTTATAAAAACCAGGACAGTGAAGAGAAAGAGGGAGAGAGAAATCACTGACCAAAACTAATTACAAAGATCCATGAAAAAATTCTAAATAAATACAAGATTGCACAATTCAGATCATGTTTTTCAGTAGAGTTAATATACAAATAGTTGAAATTAAGAAGCTTTGTTATGTGTCTCATGTGTTATAAATCAAAGAGAAAGATAATTTTCAGGAGATGTTCAACCACCAAGAAGAGAAAGCAATCCCAATAAAATGCTAATGAAACAGAAAAACAGATCAAAATGGCCAGGCCAATAATTCTTTGATTTTTTAATAAATTTGCCTTGAAATAATTTTGGGTGAGAATTAAGCTGTTTTCCTGAGGGGAAGTTCTAGAATATTTTACTCTGTCATCATTATCATGTGGAGTTTGGAGCAAGAAAAATAGGTATACAATTTGGGAATAAGAAGGTGAAATTTCCTTTGACCTGTGGCTTTTATAATTGTATCAGCACATCAGAGGGCTCAATTGAAAAAACAATCGAATGGGAGAGAATCTCTAGAAAGTTAACAGATCATGAACTAAATATACTCAAACCAATAACTTCCTCATGTGTACTTACTGTGATCTAGAAAGTATAAAAAATTCAAACACCTACTTATAAATTATGATGTTGAACAATTCTTAAAATAGGTCATGAATTTACTCATATTTATAAAAAAAAGTTTCAAAGTAATCCTAAAGTTCATTAATAAACCTCATTTGAGAATGCATGTGATAGAGAGACCTGATATTAACAGGAAGTTATTCTCCATGATGATTGTATGAATTTAATCTAATGCCAGTGAAAATGGGAGTACAATTATTTGTTTTTGAATCTTGAGTTCATATAAGATAAATTAAATTTGTAAGTTCTTATATTGAAATACTGTATAAAAGTCCTCAGAAATAGAGCAATACTGGACACGTGTGCACAGGAATGCAGAGCGGATGTGGGCTATACACGTCCTGCCAGGACCCCAGTGACTTGGAGAGCCCGGCACGTCCCCCTGAGTCTTAGGTAGCACTGAGTGCATGAAGGCCTTCAGGGGAGCACAGGGGGCCATGCAGAGCAATGTTCATAGGAGGGACGCATCTCTCTATAGGAGAGTGCCCAGTGGGGACAGAGCTCAGGGCTCTGAGATGGGGATGCCAGGAGGTGAGGATGGGTCGGTTCCCTTCTTCCTCCTGGAGCCACCACGTCTCACTACTTCCCTACTCTGCCTCTGCGGGGATTTGGGATGGGGGCCAGGAGTGGGAGGTCCTGTCTCGCCCACTCTCTCATGGGTAGGACCACCTCTGTGGAGTCCCCCCTGCATCCCTTCATTTATTACTTTCCCAGACTCTCCTGGAGACAGGGACCCCTCATCTGAGACCATGAGCTCCAGGCATCACCGAGGTGTGGCAACAAGTAGGGGAAGGTACTGTGTGAGCTGTAGCACCTGTAGGTCCCCCCGTGGGCTGAGGTCACAGGACTCTTGGAGAACTCGGCCTGGTACAGCCCAGCTCTGTCCTTTGCTTTAAGACGCAAGAGGGGATGCGCTGACCCCTCCTTGGTCAGAAGGAAAGTGTCCCTCAGGTGCCATAACTGACACAGCAGGGCCACATTCTCTCCTGAGGCCACCGTAGGGCCCAGCTGCACCGTGAGGGAGGGTGAGGCACCAAGCTGTCCGAGAGAGAGAGAGAAAGGATGGATGAGGGGCAGCCTGCCATCCGGTCCTGACCTGAGGGTCACCAGGCCTCTCTGAGGACCCACATCTCTGTCCATGTTTCCTCTGAGTCTCTCCCTCCCCCACCCCTATCTCTCACTGTCTCCCTCCCTGGAGACCCCACATCCTTCGTCCCAGCCATTACCCACTGGGCTCCCCCCGGCAGGGCCACAGGACCTGACTGAACCCTCTGGATCCTCACTTGTCACCAGGATGTCCAGGGAGTCACTGGGGGCTGACCACTCAGAGGAGAAGTTGTGTCCACCGTGACATCTGTACCAGCCCCTGTCGGAGCCCGTCACAGAGCCCGGGAGAAGTCTGCCTGAGAGAGCTTGGCCTGGGGCTTTCGGCCAGGGCACTGGGTGAGGTCACATGCCCTGTCCTGGGACAGAGTGAATCTGTCATAGCCAATGTCAGAGTGACACTGGAGGATCAGGCTCTGTTCAGAGGCCATGACAGGGCCCTGCTGAGTCAGGAGGGATGGCTTCTCAAGCATACCTGGAGACCAGTGTGAAAGCAG